ACTGTCTCCCACCTGGTGCCACTACTAGTTTCATCACAATAACAGTGACTACCATGTTGGATGTGGGGGTGGGACAGTGGTGGGTTTCAAAAAAATTTGGAACCTCTTCTGTCGGTGTGGCCTGCTTTCCAGGTCCACTGGTGGAACCTCTTCTAACCGGTTGGGTAGATTTGATGAACCGGTTCTACCGAATAGGTGCGAACTGGTAGGAACCCACCTCTGGGGTGGGAAGACATTAATATCATGAGTTTTTACCTTTATTCGGGTAATAGCTCTCTCTCTCCCCCCCTCTCTCTCTCTCCCTCCCTCCCTCCCTCTCCCTCTCTCTCTCTCCTCCCTTCCCCCCTCTCTCTGTATCTCTGTATGCAACTAGGTGAAACTGTCAAAGGGTTATGTTGAGCCTTCTGTGGGACATGGCTTCCACAAAGTTTTAAGGAGAGGTTACTTTGTAAACTTTTCCTTTCAAATACTTCCCATACTACTCAATGTTGTGACATTAGCCTAATGTATATTTTAAGGCAGTATTACACAAGAAAAGCTTTTCTTTGAATACACATCTCTGTCAAACATAAGGAGCCCCACCTTTTCTTTATAGATAGGTTGTTTTGAGTAAAACGTTTGCGGTGGGAATAATGAATACCGATAGGCTATGTATCATTATTGACCATGCCATGTCAGAAACCCCCACTAGCAGATCATTGACTTTAAAAGAACTGCATGGGGCAGATTTCCTTTATATCCCTAGCTCTGTATGGGTAGACACAGATAATCCTCCTTCCCTCCCATCTGGACAGGGTTAGGCGATTTTTTTTTCAACCTTGGTGCTTTAAGACAGGTGGACTTCAATTCCTAGAATTCCTCAATCAGCATGGCTGAGTGAGGAATTCTGGGAATTGAAGTCCACCCATCCTACAATTGTCACAACTGAGAGCTCCTGAGCTAATAGACGCCTTCCATCTAAACTTTCAGCTAGCAAAATTGCTGTATGTTTTCCCCTTATGATCAGAACTAAAGAACTGCTCACTATTTTCTTAATTTAGCTGCTTTCAAGACAGGACACGATATTTTGACCAAGGTAAAACTTTTTTTAAACACTGTAATGGTTGTACTCTCTTTAAACAGTAATAAGTGAAATTATTTCATTTCCAAGCATTAGATATGAAATGAAGAGTCAATCTGCCAATAACAACAAAAAGCTTTTCACCTTGGATTCACTTTTCCCCCTTTTGAGCTTCAGTTGTTTGCCCTAAAGAGTCCTGGGCGCCTTTAGAAACCTTATTTGTTACACAATAAACCAGTCTGTCTTGTACAGATATGCAGTTTTTGTACACAATATAGCGTGCCTGAGTGCACATTTAAGTACAATACCTATACTGGAGAGAAAATAATTGATTTAAGAGAGATGACAGCTCAGCAGCTCATTTCATACTTTCACAATATAGCAATTTTTCGAAAGCCTCTTGTTTTCGGCTTCCTTCCACAGTGCTGCTCATCTTGGCTTTCCATCAATTTACCTCAAGCATCTAAAACAGCAAGGGACATTTCTGAACAGTCTGGAGTATTCATCCTGGATCTGAAATGAAAAAAATACAATGAGCACCTTGGCTTACTAACAGGTAAATATATATATGTTTTAAGCGTCTTCTACCAAATGTGGCTTATTCTGTGGATAATTTGGCCCTGCAGGGAGTGAGAAAAAGATGCTGATGAGATTTTGACAATGTAAGTTGTAGGACATTACATAAAAAGTTTCAGTCTGGAATCAAATGACTATAGTTAGTGAACCTCTTTAATTATTTGATAGGATTACTGCTGTATAATTTGAAATGCCTTCTGAAATCTCAGACCTGTGTTATATAAATCAGATTTCAGAGTCTTAATACATGGCTGTGAATTATGCATGTGCATGAATTATTTTATTCAAGCAGGATGACAATTCTTGGCTCACTTTTAAGTATGGAGCACCAACTAAATCAGACTCCAACATTATTATAATGCATTTAATGTGTGCATTTCCAACTCTCTCTAGTTCAGATTATATTTTTCTTTAGATCTTATTCAAATCTGAATCAGGTGTTTAAGGCCTGCCTGGTACTGCTGTGGAGAACAGCTATTTGTTTATTTATTTATTTATTCATAAACTTTCCAACTGATTTCTAGGGAGACTATTATGCTTGCAAGAAATTACTAGTCACTTGATCCCAAACATGCTGTGGGTTTCTTTATATCTGTTCTGGTAATTCCTGGTTAAGTTTTTTTTTTAAATTATCAATTTGGAAACTTAATATTTTTTTTCAATTATGAAACAGCAAGATATGATTCCTTCTTTCTTTAAACTGTTAGCCTTTTGCATTTGTGCAAATAAACAAAAAACAATCTTCCTCATCATTCTATCAGTCAGTCAGTCAATCAGTTTGGTCCTTGTTACTTTATCATGTGCCCCTATCCTCCTATAAAACGGAGGTGGACACCTAAATCCTGTATGCCTAGAATAAGTTCAGAGAAGTGGTGTTGTTTTGACAAGGGTTAGACTCTTTTATAAGGTCTCTTAACAGAGGCAGCAGTTGCCTTGTTAACTATTTCAGAAAGATATAAATATATAAGGGTGTCTTCCCAAAACTTTTGCCCTTCACTGCAAAGGCACCCCACAGACTTTTCTGTTCCAGTTTTAATGCATGCTTTCTACTTTCTTTTAATAGAATCTTTGATGTCAGGATTATCTTCGGTGTCTCATTTGAGATAAGATGTGTTCAGTAATTCTCCCACCTGTCAAGAGAAGGGAAGTGCGGATGGAGGGATTCTTTAGACTACACCACCTTATGAGAAAACGATTCAACAGTCTTCAAGAACGTCTCACCTGGCTTGGTCATGCAGGTGGGGGAAGAAGATGATTGCTAAAAAGATGCTCCGCTTCCTTTTTTTTTGGTGAGAATATAGGGAAAGAAGCAGGAGGGGAACAGGTTCTTAGAGCCTATTAGATAGAAACCATGGAACTGGAGAATTGGGAGCATAAGACTTGTTTTCTTATTCTCCTCCCACTTCTTCTCTTGCTATGAGTGGCAGGAAAATGGTGGGAGAAAATGGCATTGTGTTGCCACTTTTCCAATCCAAAGAAGTAAAGATTGCTAAGGATTAGAAAACTGACAGCAGAAGACTTGCTCAGATTTGTCCTTGCTTGTGTTGCAAATACTGGTGGGGGGAGAAATAGAGAGGCAAGAAGGAAAGAGCCACTTTGATGCCGTATAACTAATTCCTAGAGTGGTCATTTAATAACAGTTCAACACCATGGGGGTCTTCTCTTGTCAATAATTGTTACCCAAAGAGGCTTTCCCCACTCTTTTTCTTTCTCCTTCATTTTTCTTGTGCCAAAACCGAAAAGGAATAGCACAAAGTAAACCAGAGTCGACGTGGTGGCTCAGTGGCTAAGACACTGAGCTTGTCGATCAGAAAGATCAGCAGTTTGGTGGTTCAAATCCCTAGTGCTGTGTAACGGAGTAAGCTCCCATTACTTGTCCCAGCTTCTGCAACCCAGCAGTTCGAAAGCACGTAAAAATGCAAGTAGAAAAATAGGAACCACCTTTGGTGGGAAGGTAACAGAACTCCATGAGTCTTCAGCAATTAGTCAAGCTGGCCACATGACCATGGAGATGTCTTCGGACAGTGCTGGCTCTTTGGCTTTGAAACAGAGATGAGCATCGCCCCCTAGATTTGGGAACGACTAGCACGTATGTGCGAGGAGAACCTTTACCATTACTTAAACCAGGGTACTGTTTTAACATTTTATCAACTATGAGCTGCAGCTCCACATGTGCAGTCTGGGTATACATTATTTTTTCCAAAGAGAGATTGAGGTAACTGAGTCTGCTTAACCTTCGGACAAGATGCTTGAGTGAATATGCTAGCACTTTTCAAGTATCTGAAGAGGCTTTAAATATGTCCTCTATCATAGATTGCAAATTATGGAATAATGCCCTTCATTAATAGATGTGCAGACTTAGATTGAATGTTAGGCAAAACTTTTTATAAGCAAGAGCAGTTTGATAATCAAGCAGTTACTTATGAATATGACAGGATATATATTTCTTTGGGATATTTTAATTTAGATTACTGCACTGAGCAGATTATCCTGCATAAGATGTTGAACACCGTATAAATGATGGAACATTAAACATAATTACCAGTATTGCCCTTATTCTGTGGGTGGTGGAACAGTGCAGACATCAGGGATGTTTTCTTTATTAGTTTGGTTTGCAGTTTGAGTACCAAGACTACTCCTTGGAAAATGCAAGTAGTAGTTTCAGAGAAGGTTCTTTTACTGAGACTGGGGCTTGGGTGACTAATCATCCAATCAAACTTTCCAAGAGCCAATTTTATTCAAGCTCTTCTGAAACAGCTCTGACTTTCAAGTAGTTGCTATTTACTGGAAGGAAGGAAGGAAGGAAGGAAGGAAGGAAGGAAGGAAGGAAGGAAGGAAGGAAGGAAGGAAGGAGAGAGGGAGGGAGGGAGGGAGGGAAGGAAGGAAAGAGGGAGGGTGTTAGCATTCCTGGGAAGATTTAGAATTGGCTTTCCACTGAGGGAGGCAGATGAAGGAAGACAGAGACTAAGTAAGTAAGTAAGTAAGTAAGTAAGTAAGTAAGTAAGTAAGTAAGTAAGTAATATATTGACAGAGAGGGAGGGAGGAAGGAAGGAAGGAAGAGAGGGAGGAAGGAATATATTGACAGAAAGACAGGGAAGGAGGGAGGGAGGGACGGAATGAAGGGTGGCAGTAAGGAGAAGAACATTTTTAGGATAATTTTGAATAAATGCACCTCATGGTCTATTTACATATATTAGAAAAAAACCCTTACTTTTCGTGACAGCACACAAAGAAATATAAAGATGAACAGTCCCTGAAATGCATTGAAAACTGTGAAAAGATATGCCGTGGCCACTGATCCTTGAATGACATGGAGCACGCCAAAAATCCACGTAGCCCCCAGGAGAAAAAGGAGAGAAAGTGCCCCTCGTGCACAGGATCTAGAGAGAAGGGAAAGAAGAGCTGTTAGCCTTGATTTTCTTTCTACTTCCTTCCCTTAAATGTGAGTCACTGACAAACTTTTGCGTTCTGCACTGCAATGGCATGGTTTCTGCTTTAGGGTGTGCTGCAGTGCCGTGGCTGGAATAAAGTTCCTATTTTGTTTTCTGAGCAGTCACCAACAAAAGTGGAAACGCTGATGGCTTTTAAACACTGGCTGTCTTAATCTTCAAATCTGTTTTCTCTAGTGTGCTGCAGAACCATATGATTTGATTTTAAATCTACTATTGGTGCAATTCCCCAAGGTAAAACATATGTCTGTTATGAAGTATACCCCCTAAGAAACCTTGGGAAAAAAGAAATGTATAGCATGCTCTGAGGTCAGCATATGTGCCAGGCATCAGAGGGAACTTTTGGGCTGTTTCTCAGGTTCAGCCTCAGAGATAGTTCTTAGTTTGTTCAAAACACAGACTTTCTTTCTTTCTTTCTTTCTCCTTATTCTTTGCTTTCATGAGGCAAAGGAAGTTTAAATTGTTTGGGGGCTGGGGGTGGTCAAGATATTGACTCCCAAACAGCTCGCAGATCTGTTCCCTGAGATTGTTTCTCTCTTCTTATGTTAACACATTCTAATGTAAGTTTCTCCAGCTTTGGTCATGAGTGATGACAAATTACACAGTGTGCTCTTGTAGTCATTAATTTTCTGTTTCCTTTGCAGCCCACTAATTTTGAACTTCCTTTACAGAAAGTTGTTTCTCTCTCTCTCTCTCTCTCTCTCTCTCTCTTTATCTGTCTCTCTCTCTCTCCCCCCCCCGTGTCTGTCTGTCTGTCTGTCTGTCTCTCTCTCTCCCTGTCCCCCCCTCTCTCACACACAAATCTCCCACCCCCATCATCTCTATTTTCACGCTGCTTCCTTAGGCACTATAACCATTTGACTCCATTAGACTGGGCTCTCTGTGAGAACTGATCAGGTGGAGAATGGGAGCAAAGTGATCAATCAAAGAGCTGCTAAATCCTAACTATAAATCTAGTGCAATGACTTGAAACAACGTGAATGTTTCCAAGCAACAAAAACAGTAAGTTGCTTTCAATGGTCCCTATAGCACATTCCAGCTTTTCCAGCACAAATGCTTTTCAAGGTCTCTATAAATCAGTTTTAAAGAAAACAGATTGATGGAAAAATCATAGCAGCTCATGAAATAAAAAAAAAAGAATAACAATAAAAAACAAACCCCGGTGAAGGAGGAAAGAAAATATGGAACACCTATTTCTAAAAATCTCTCTGGAAATAGAGTGAAACATCAAAAGCCCTACCGAGAGTTTAGAACAAGAGAGTTAAACATGTTACTTACTAAAGAGCCTCATATCTGATTTTTTATGCAATATGAAAACTATAATCTGGCTTGCAAAAGTAAAATGGTCATATTAGCCAGAATCTCATATTTGTTGTTAAAAAAAAAATCTCCCAAAGCTTTAACTCTGAAGGATGATCTAGAGCAGGGTTGTCAACTCCTGGCTCATGCGCTGGTCGTGCCCATGCCTGGTTTAGTGAAGGGGGAAAAAGTCCAGATATGTCACGTGACACCGTCGTGATGGCGCGAGTTTGACACCCCTAATCTAGAGGGACTATCTTCCCAGCCGATAGCTGCAGAAGCAGACTACTTAGCAACCCAAGTTCGAAAACTTAGCATATCTTAGAAATATTGATACAAGAAGAAATAATGTTTTTGCAAACGTCTCAGTATTTTGTGATGTCAGGATATCTTTTTGTTTCACTCTTATTTTGCTCCCAAGAGATCCTTATAAAAGGTAAAATATCAATATTCTTTTGTAAAGAAAAACATCCTGTGGAATTTAGGCATTGGTCAGCATAATAAATACTTTAAAGCAATACAGTGAGGATGTCCTTTCTTATTACATTAAGAAACTGAAAACGCTCGACAGAATTGTAGTTAGCTAAGACTAACATTGCTTGGTAGCAATTTAAAACATGCTGCCAAAGAATTCTCTCAAAGTTGACTCTTACCTTATATTTTCATAGCAGCTAACTTCTGGCTTTAGCATGGCTGTTTGACGAAATACTTTATAGATAATTACTCCAAATGCCATCCAATTCACCTTGAGAAATATACATTGAAGTTTTAGTTTAGGAAAAAAAAAGCATTTCTAGGTCACATTTACACTTTTTCCATTTAGAAATCAACTAAATAAGTCCATTTGATGTATTCTTGAAGAAGAGCCACTTTATAAAGCAGAGGTTAAGTCCTGTACTTGTGCAAATCAAAATTATAAAATTCTTTTTTTAAAATCTCAGCTTTATTAGTTTTCTTACAATTGAAAATAGGAAAAGGAAACATACAGAACTGATTAGTGTAGTGCATAGAAACCATATTTGTAATTAACTAATCATCACAAGGTAGTAAATGGCACAGATAGTGGAAAAAAATAAAACAAAAAGAACTTGAAAGGGGAAAAAGATATTGTATTTTGTCAACTTTTGCATAGTACTGAAAACAGTATTTACATTTGTTATTTAAAATATGTCATTCAATTAGGACCATTTATTTTCTTACCCAATAATGTCCAAATATGTATAACCACCTTAGGTGCTGAAAATATCACAATACTGCTATTGTAATTGGGATGAAGTCCTTGCCAAAATTTCAAGGGAGTCAAGTAAGAAATATAACTGGGTTTCTAATAGCACATATTTAATATAATGTTTATTCTAATATATTGCATTATTGACATTAGCAAATAAGTGATATAGTTTAAAATCAGGGAAATAGAAAGCACTATAATGAAATAGAATAGTAATTCAATGTGTTTTTCAAAGCAGTCTTTAAATGCTTTATAAATGAATTGGTAAAGTTATTTGGAGAGCAGAAATTCATCCTAAATTTAACTAAAATTCAAATATTTATCTTGGGTTTTAATCCAAATCATATTAGACAAAGATTAACCTAAAATATTTTGCATTCCCCTTATTATCAGAAATACAACATTAATAACAGGATGTATTTATAGAAACTTTGAATGCAGAATATAGAAGTGTAAGAGGATTTTGCAATAAGTTTACATTAAAAGATTCTGTGTTAATCTGGCAATACCTTTCTCTTCATCAAGCAATGTAGTAAAAGAAACAGAAAAACAAATGAATATTGTTTCTCTAAGTTTGAAAATATTGAAAACTGGTAATTGGATAGAAATGTTATATTTGTTTCACTAACAACTAGTAAAAGAGAAATAAAACTTCAGCATACAATGAATAACAGTATCTCATATCAGACATATGAGATAACAGTATCCCATAGGAGACAGGAAGAGTTTATTCTTGAACAATAATACTTGAGCTATTTTTCAACTATCCCTATCAAATAAACTGCCTGAAAATGAGGTTACATTTGCTTCAGCGGTGGGATTCACTTACCTTCCCTACCGGTTTGCAAATGTGAATGTATGTGCCACCTCTGTGCATGCACACCTCCTTCTGCGCATGTACAGTGCTTGCACATTACATCGGGATGGGTGGGCAGAGCCTCTCGCAGCTGCCACTACTGGTTCACCTGAACCGGAGAGAATCAGCTGAATACTACCTCTGATTTGCTTGTCCCTGTGAAGTCACAATGGCTATTGTGGAAAGGGAAAGAATTAACTTTTTCTTCTTTCTGAGGCTGGGCACTTCATAGGAACATATCAAGACCAAAGGTCTTGGAAGCTCCTCAGCAAAGCACATTTTCTGAAAATTATCCTTTATTCCTGATGCTACGGTAGCTAGAAAAAAACATTAATCCTTTTTCTTCTTCACACTACAAATGATGTTTCAGCCTGTGCAGCAGTTACTATGGACAGCAAATACTCACACACAATATCATAAAACCAAAACAAAACTAAGAGCCGTTTAAGAACCTAAACCAAGGACTATTTGTGTAGAGAGGTGGAAGGACTTTCACCATCTGGAATTCTTTAATTTAGAACCTTGCTCTTGAGCATGGAGTTGGCTTCAATCATTCCTCCCAGCTCTATGATTTAAATTAGCTATGTTTTCCTTTGTCTTGGTTTTTAATTTAATCCAAAAAGGAATTGCAATGGTTGTATCTTTGAGGTAAACATTATGGGCCACAACAACTCTGTGACATTCTAAAATTGAATGTTTATCATGAACTATACGTAACCCTTCACGTTGGCCATGCTTGCGGGGGCAGCTGGGAAATGTATTTTATAATCTTTTAGGTTTTGGCTTCTGCATCATGATGAACTAATATATCTCAGAGACAATTCTAAGCTAAAAATTGGCAGCCAGGAATTGAGCCCTGGCTGATGGATCTTCTTTGAGATAAGTTGTGGGATCACACATTTGAGTCCTGGATGGTAGTTTCACACAATCCTAGGGGACTTGTATGTAATTTACTAGTAGGGCTCTAGCAGCCGAGGAAGAAGGCATCGTAGTCACAACCTTTGACAGATTGGAAGGAGTATTTAACATTTAAGCAAAAGAGATACCTATGCAATTCAGTCCAGAAGGCAAGAGATTTTTATGAAACAAACTGAAATGTTTAAATGACACTATCAGTTAATGCAAAAGGGAAAGCCATTGCTCCTTGATGCTGTTTCCACTATTATACTAGTCCTATTCTGGTTACACTTTCAGTCCTGACACAGGATTCATCCATTTGAACATTGAACATTCATGGTGCTAGGTCTTCAAAAGAGCTTCCATAGGTTCACACTGCTGCAATTTATTCTATTAATGATTTTTGCATACTAAATTACTGGAAAGATCTAATATAAAGCAGCCAAAAGAATATTATTTGGGTCATGGAAATGACGCCCATCAATCAATCCTCACATTAACAATAATATTCTCTGGTTTACCTGCAACTTAAATGTAAAAGCTACACTGATCACAATGTAAATGAGACTTAAAATTAGATTTTATATTTAGGTTCCACTTTTCATACTTTGGTAACTATGTATCAATCTAAAAATCAAAACCTTTTAATCCCTTTTTAAATTAGATAAAATATATATTCCCTTTTGTTAATGAAAATATCTGGGGTGAGGGGGTGCATAGAATATTATGTCAACAGCCCAGGCAGAGCAGAACTGAAGGGAGAAAAGATTGTTTCTTGTTGAATAATAAGATAATATAGCAGACTATCGATTAGTAACTGAATACATGAAGGAAAAAAAATATAAAGATATAATAATGTACTAAACTAGTATGCACTCTTTATGGGAATATTTTTATGCTAAAAGGATAGATTGATTTTATTTGTCCTCAATATTCATGATCCTTTTCTAGTTTTTGTTGTTCTAAACTTTTCTATTATTTTATTTTATTTTGTTTTATTATTTTTTGTGATAATAAAGCAGAACAATTAATCCAATAAAACCAAATATGTATTCTTGGGACAGGACTCAAAATGGAAGGCCAAATAACCTTTAGTTTCGAATTTGAACAAAGACTCCTAAGGAAGATGGGCTAGTATAAGGTAATGGTTCCCCTCGCATATATGTGCTAGCCGTTCCTGACTCTAGGGAGCAGTGCTCATCTCTGTTTCAAAGCCGAAGAGCCAGCACTGTCCGAAGACATCTCCATGGTCATGTGACTGGCATGACTAAATGCAGGAAGGAGCATGGAATGCTGTTACCATCCCACCAAAGGTGGTTCTTATTTTTCTACTTGCATTTTTAAGTGCTTTCAAACTGCTAGGTTTTCAGAAGCTGGGACAAATAATGGGAGCTCATTCCATTATGCGGTGCTAGAGATTTGAACCTCCAAGCTGCCAACTATTCCGATCGACAAGCTCAGCGTCTTAGCCACTGAGCCACCTATGGGCTAGTATAGAAATGGACAAATAATTAGCATCTCACAGTGCAAAAATTGTTATTCGCTAGACAATGATGGGAAAGGATGGAAAACATTTCATGAACAGAGAATGGACTGCATACATATCCTCATATATAAGAATCAGAACTCATATGATTTCTATTTAAAATATCCAACTTCTTTCCAGTTGTAATTATTATGGCCCCCAGAGCGAAGAAGGTCTGCTGTGGGTTTGAATTTGTATTATTAAATCTTTCAAATTTCTTTGTCCCTGTGATATTTACCAAGACAAAGCTGTCCATATTTTAGTTTATATTCTTTGGATGATTTGATTCAGCAGCTTTCAGTATAAACAACAACAATGAAATAAAGTATCTTTTAAATGAAAAGTTATTGAGCTCTACAGTATATAAATAAATCCTCCAGTGTTTTAACTCTGTAGTGCCTGTTTTCAGGTGCAAGAACAGCAACTACGAATCATTGTAATTCTGAGTTCCTCTAGAGAAAATCAGAAAGCCACACAATATCTTAGTGTGTTAGATTTTGCATTAGGATCCATGACTGACTTGTAAGACATCCAGGCAGCTCCATATTGAGTTCATATCTGAGGAATACAAGACATTTCATCTCCTATTGGCAGTTTGTTTAAACAGCTGGCTTTGAATGCATTTCTTGACTTACGTTGGCATACAGGAAAAAGAACTGAATTTTGATTTGCCCAGCCATAGTCTTTGTTGTGAATTTTTTTTTAAAAAAAGGCCTGGAAGCATCTAGTCATTCTCTAAAGCCATTTCCCCTAGGCATTTACCCCCCCCCCTCCGCCACATATATATGATATATTTCATCAGCTCAGATTCAATAGGAAGACAGTTTTTCCTGTCTATCAATAAGGATTAAAGGATGCTGGGTGGAGGTGTATTCAAGCAAGAAATGGTAGAATGTCTTAGGTTGATGAAAAGACATTGGATCCTGTGTCAGTAAGTGAGATAAAGGGTGGAACTAGGAGAGTGAAGTACTTAAGTGAGAGATTAGTTAGAAAGAAGAGAAATGAATGAGGGGTTAAATAAAATAATGAGAGGTTAAATAAAATATACTAGCTTGGAAAAGATAGAATGTTGCATTACAGGAAAAATGAATTAAAGTCTTTTCCCCCCTCTATTGATGTCTCTGCTTTGTTTTCCCTTTCAGTATGCAAATCATTCATATCAGATCCTGCTTGAATCTGCCCACTGACTTTAGGAAGGCCTATAGGCAAATAGAAAGTAATAATTGCGCATTAAATGAG